GGAAATTTATTTTGTAATAATTATTCCATTCCTCCCAATATAAGTACTAGCTTCAGTCAGTGGAGAAAAAAACTGTTTGGGGATATATCAATATATAAAATTAAATGCATAATATTTATTGATTTTGCTACTATGCAATCATTAATGTTTTAGTAAATGTAAGCCTTTAGTACCATAGGGTGGTGGGTAAATTACTGCTCTGTCAGAGAACCCCTGCATAATACAGCAGGCTATTTCACTGAGGAGGCAGGCATCAAGCTATCACAAGTTTATTTTTTTTATTTATTTAGATTTCAGTTTTCTCTGCAGACAAGAGACAAAAACAAGTAAAATACAATACAAAATGATGTACAACACATATATGCCTATGTTATATAGGTGTATATATATATATATATATATATATATATATATATATATATATATATATATATATATATATATATATATATATATATATATATATATATATATATATATATATATATATATATAAATTAACCTAAGGATCTAAATCTATTCATGCATACTGGGTATTCACATCCCAGTACAGAAGCTTTGCACCAAATTTTTATGCATCTACAACCAAAATGGAAAAAGACAAAGTTTCATTTAGTCATTTTAATTTGTTACTTATTAATGGTATCACATTTGCTTGTGCTTAAATAGACCAAAAACCCATGAAATAATAGTAAACAATAGTTATAAACACTCATGGCTCAGTGCACTCACATTTAACTACCTTACAATGACAAAGCATGTGTTCTTAATGATTCTACTCGTATTCGGTAAGCACTGAGGGATCAATCACTTTTTACAATGCCATAACATGGGAGGGAGGGACTGTGTGGATATCCCTGTACACACACTCACACACACTCACACACGTACACATGCACAAACACACACACACGCAGACTCTCTTGCACACACACACTCTCTCTCGCTCTCACACACACACACACACGCATGAGGAGAGACTGTGTGGATATCTCTGTACACATACACACACACACACACACACACACACTCTCTCTCACACACACACAAACACACACACACTCGCTCTCTCTCTCTCTCTCACACACACACACACACACAGACACACACACGCATGAGGAGAGACTGTGTGGATATCCCTGTACACACACTCACACACATGCACACGCACTCTCTCACACACACACACACACACACATACACACACACACACACGCGTGTGAAGAGATTGTACAGATATCCCTAAACACACACACACACACACACTGACACACCTGCATACACACACAAACACACGTACACAAACAAACTCTCTCTCTCTCACACACAAACACGCATGGGGAGAGACTGTGTGGATATTCCTATATGCACACACACTGACACACTGACACACACACGCATACACACATACACGCACACACATGTATTTAGCGGCTCCTCTGATAGATGAACTGAAGCTGGCATTATGCTGCCAGTGCTAATGAAGATCTGAGCACAGGAAACAAAAGCTATTGTAAAGCTATGAAACAGAGCTATCCATTTGAGGGACATATAGGCCAGGTGGTACGAGTCAGTCTGCACCTATAACACCTACTCTGCATATATTTACATATTCATGATTGGAGAAGGCCTAAAAGGTTAATGAAAGCCTTTTTCTATTATGTGGATCTGCATACATTTGGCCCATGTTAAATACTCATTGTGACTGCCTGTCTCCGAGCAGCCTCCTCCTAATGACATTCAACGGGTGATATTGGTTTGGTTTCACAGACAGGGTCAAAGTATGAAAGCTTGATTAAAACTGGGCTCTTCTGTACCATTTTAATTTATAAAACTCAGAACTGTACGATTTCAATAACGTGGCAATTACAGTAAATGCTTCAACTGATGTAATGTCATTTTATTTTTAGGAGTTTCTAGAGGTTCTTTTTTATTTATTTATTTGTACGGGGACAGCCCATATGAATGATATTGTAAAATAACACAAAACTACACTTAACACCAGCACATTCACTGTACATACAGTTAATTTCAGACAGTTCATTTGAAGATAAAAGTTAAACCAAGGTTATATTTTCTTTTGTACTGTCAAACTTGTGTATGTATCAAATTCTTATTATTATGGCCTGATCGATATGGATTTTTATTATGATACCGATAAAATGGGAGTTGGAGCTACTGATAGCCCATATAAAAGCCGATATATTTAGTGATGTAAAAAATCACTATAAATCTTCAGTTGATTATCAGACTTAGGTCTGGGTCTACTGGATTTTGTATTGGGGTTGTTTAGGCTACATTTATTGTTATTCTGCCTCTTTACTTCATATTTACAGACAGTAGGTCAGCCTAAAGCATTTTTTCATGACATTCTACCTTTACAATGAAGTATAACATGCCCACGTGGACTATCGGCCCATATCAGCAAGATTTACGTTGATAACTGATATGTATTCAAGTGCCCATTTTGGCCTAACCAATATATTGATCGGGCCCTACTTATTATATTAAAATATCTTATAGCAGCATGTAACAGCTGGCTTGAAATTCTAAAAAATACATGTATGCAAAAATTTCAGTGTTATTTTGATTCTCAGGAATAGGCTCAATGCTTGATACCAATTTCAAAATCACCACACAAAATGACTCTTGTCTTTCACTATTTCTAATAAACCATTGTAAAACTATTCAGGAAAGGTTCATTTGTTATGCATTTTTTCAGTATTTATAACTATGCACAAATTAGCATCGGTAATAGTAGTATCTGGGTACTTTAGTTTAGTTTTTTTAATTTGGCAACCCTACTGCCAATATGTTATTACATTACATACAAAATTCAGCCTATAGCTTTTTATAAAACATGTTTAAACACTGCTTTAAAAAGTTAAAGGTGCACTATGTAGCTTTTTGGTATGACATTAAACAGAAAAGCATTTGAAATGTTACACAATGCACCTTTAATTTCAAGCCAAATGTTATATAAGTACAATTTCTCTGTCTCTTTAAATCATAATGAGGTTACATGATTTGAACTCTTTCTTTTTGCCTATTCCTTTTTCGTGTGATCTTGCTAAGTTCAGATGTATTGTCAGAGGATTATTGCGCTAAAGGAGTGGGCAGCCTTTAGCCCTTGAGCTTTAGGTCTAAGTGACTCACTGTGTTTGTCATAGGGAGAAACAAACATAGAAAAATTATGTATTTTTTTCTATATGGACCTATGGATTTTACTCTTATGTTGTAGGAAATATAGTCATCCTTCTCTCTGCAACGTTTCAAATCACCGTAATGTTATTTGAAAGTAGGATAAATCCAAAACTGTAACAGGGCGTGACAGTACTGGCTAAAACTCGCAATGAGATATTTGTTGGAATTGTGATTACATTTGCAATTGATGTTTTTTAAGTAGGATTTTGTTCACATTGTAAACAGTTTCTGGAGCGTTGAGACTTGAAAGAAGACTGACTAAGAACTGCTGAACTAATACAATAATCTGATGCATTTTGGACATCTTTGTAGAGGGTGAAGGGTCCTCCCTCTTTTTCTTTTCCTCTCTGTCTCTGCTTCTCTCCATCTCTCTTGCTCTGTGTCTCCTCACTGTCTATTTGTCTCTCTCTTCTCACTCTTCCCCCTCTTCCCTCTTTTCTCTCTCTTACTCTGTCTCCCCCCTCTCTCTCTTTCCTCTCTCTCTCCTCTCTCTTTCTCTCTTTCCTTTCTCTCTCCTCCCTCTCTCTCTTTTCTTTCTCTCTCCTCTCTCTTTTTCCCCACTGTCTCTCTTTCATTTCTTCTCTTTTCTTTGTCTCTCCTCTCCCCCCTCTCTCTATCTCTATTTGTCTCTCCCTTCTTTCTCTTCCCCCCTTTCTGTCTTTCCTTTCTTCTCTCTTTGTCTCCCCCCTCTTCCCCTCTCTATGTCTATCTGTCTCTCTCTTATCTCTTTTCCCCTTTCCTCTCTTCTCTCTCTTTCTCCCTCCATTCCTCTCTCTTCTCTCCCTTTTTCTCTCCTCTTTTCCTCTCTTTCTCTTCCCCCCTTTCTGTCTTTCCTTTCTTCTCTTTATGTCTCTCCTCCCCCGTGTCTCCCTCTCTCTATCTCTAGTTGTCTCTCTCTTATCTCTCTTATCTCTCTTTTCCCCCTTTCCTCTCTTCTACCCACCCCCTTTCTTTCCTCTGTCTGTTCTCTCTCGTTCTCTTCCCTCTTTTCCTCTCTCTCTTTTTCCCCCTTTCTCTCTTTCCTTTCTTCTCTCTTCTCTGTCTCTTCTCCCCCCTCTCTCTCCCCTCCCTATCTCAATATGTCTCTCTTTCTTCTCTCTCTCCTCCGTTCTTTCTTTCCTCATTCTCTCTTCTCTCTCTTTCTCTCTCCTCTCTCTCTCTCTTTCCCCCCTTTCTGTCTTTCCTTTCTTCTCTCTTCTCTGCCTCTTTGCCCCTCCCTGTCTCTCCGTCTCTCTTCTCTCTCTCTCTCTCTGCAGTGAACAATCTATCACCAATAAACAGTTCTAGTCTTTGGGATTCGATAATTTTAGCCAAGTCAAATTGTGATTTCGATTTGATTGAAGTACATTTTCAACCCTGTCCTTAACAATATTCAGATTTTTTTTTTATTGGACTTAAACACTGTAATGCCAAAATGCTACCCAATACATGTTCTAAATGCTAACAACACTGAACCACGTAAACATACATCAACATTTGACAAACCCAAATGCTTCTGCAGAAAAGTCTCCCTAAAACCATTTTAATTACCCAAATACTTGTGACTAATTGATTATTCATAGATGCTCTAAACCCTGAGCTCCATGTGTCTCTGCCCACAGGCCGTCTGCCACAACACGACACTAAAATAACCAAAAATACAACTGGAAAAAAAAAAAAAAAAAAAAAAAAAAAAAGCATTATTTATTTGTCTAATCCTCTCTTTGCCTCCAGGATGTGCCTTCCTGACATACTGTGCACGTGAGTCTGCTCTCAAAGCCCAGAATGCATTGCACGAGCAGAAGACACTACCAGGGGTAAGTCTGTTGTTTTAACTTATTCACATGTAAAGCTGCGGGAAACAGGGCAAAGCATTTTAATCATAACCATCATTTTTGCATTTTATTTGCTGTCTGTTTAACATTGCACCAGTTTACCTTTTTCAGATGTATTGTCATTTGATTTGAAACTTTGGGTGGAGGCATGAAATTATTTCAGACATTTTTGACAAACTTTATTGATCCACAAGGGAAATTATTTGGACACAGTAGCTCACACATCACAATATATTATAATAACAAAGAGCAAAAATATAAATGATAATAATAAATTCAAAATAAGTAGCAAGAGGCTAGTGTCAAATAAGGCATAATTATATAAATGTATATATACACGTAAAAATAAAATGCAGAAATATATTCAGTACAAATATATCTTGTATATATTAATAGACAATAATCTGTTTGGGTTTTTTAATTGAGAATTTTGAGAAGCAAATCTGACTATTTTGTCTTACAAAATGATTGAAAGTATGTTTTGTATGTATGTATTTATGTTCAGGAGTAGAAAAAGAAGTTAAAAGTGAAAGCCATTTTTATTTGTTTTTAAGTAAGACAAAACACAATTTTACACCTTAATGCCTGAATTTATTTAGATGTATATAACAATGTTTGTGTGTGTGTGTTTTTGCCTTAAAGTAGATGGTAAATTAAGTTGAGATTATTAATTTGACTATAACAAAAAAAAAAAAGAAAAAAAGAAACATGGGTATGTTGCATATTTGCGACAACAAGAAACAAGTGCTTGCCAAAGGTTCCTAGGACGGTCCTGCATATGCACTAACTGGCATTGGGGGAATGCAGTTTCTATCTCATCTTATATTTTGATCCAAAATATTTGTCGTATATTTGTGACACTCAGTGTTAAGGGGTTAATGGGGCAACCGTGGCCATAGTAGTTTATAGTAAGTGGATTATCCTGTGGGTTTGTAGTTCAATTCCAACTCTGTTTTTTTTTTTTTTTTTTAACGTTTTTTTGTGTCAAGATTTGAACATTGACAAGACTTTACATTTTCACTGCACAGTAAGACAGTTATATTATGAAAAAATAAGACCAGGCCAGTAATGTGTTTACAATTTTACACTAATAAAGATGATAATGCAGAGTCTTTTATCCAAATGGTCTCGTGGCCTCAGGTTTATGCTATTGTTTCCTGAATGCCCCACACACACATTCACTGTGGCACGTAAAACTAAGTGGGTTTGACATGCAGGCCTGACTTCCCCTTTAGCCGATACATGCTCTTATAAAGGTCAGTCTCTCATTCTCTCTCTCCTCTCCTCTTTCGCTCGCTCTGTCTATCCGTTCCCATCCCCTCAACCAACCCCTCCTCTCTCTCTCTCTTCTCTCTTCCTCTCGGTTTCTCTACTTCTTTCTCTATCCCTCCCGTCACTCCTCTCCTCCTCTATCTCTCTCTTTGTCTCATCTCTCACTCTCTCTTCCTCCCTGTCTCTCTGCTTCTCGTTCTATCCCTCCCTTCCCCCCTCTCTCTCTCTCCCTCATCTCTCCCTCTCTCTCTCTTCCTGAATGTCCCTCTGCTTCTCTGTCTGTCTCTCCCATCTCTCTCTCTCCCTCCCCTCTTCTCTTTCACTCACTCTGTCTATCCTCGTTCCCATCCCCTAAATCACCCCCTCCTCTCTCCCTCCCTTCCTCTTTGTCTCTATTTCTTTCTCTTTCTCTTTTGCTCTCTCCTCTCCTCCTTTCTCTCTCTCTCTGTCTCATCTCTCTCTCTCTCTCCCTCCATGTCCTCCTGCTTCGCTGTCTCTCTCCCATCTCTCTCCCTCCCCTCTCCTCTTTCACTCGCTCTGTCTATCTTCTTTCCCCTCTCTCCCTCCAGTCTCTCTCTCTTCTCCCTCCCTCATTTCGCTGCCCCTCTTCCTCCCTGTCTTTCTGCTTCTCTCTCTATCCCTCTCCCCCATCTCTCTCTCTCTCTCGTCTCTTAACCTCATCTCACCCTCCTCCCTGGCTCTCTGCTTCTCTCTCTCTCCCTCCCATCTCTCTCTTTCTCTCTTTCCCCCTCTCTCTGTCTCTCTCTCATATGTTTCATATGTGATCCATCCAGACATATTCATCCCGTTACCCATGAGTCATAGCGCTACATGTCACGAGTCTAAACAGACAAACGGATGGATAGTTGAAGCCGCATAGACTGTGCTATCCTGTTTTCCTGTGATGTTAGCTTCCCCTGCTCCTCTGAATCCTAATCAAAGTTAAACCTGGCTTTATTAGCATAGCCAGGCAGCAGGTGTGGTGCCAAATGACATTTCCAGAGCGAAATGTGACGTGACAGGCGCGTCTATATAATATAAGCCTATGGTATATGTGAGACAAGCGACCAGAATTACTAAGACACTGTGCTCGCTGCTTCCTCTTTTCACAAACACGCTGCTGCCCCTGTTCCCTTTGGGTTATTTTGGTGGAAATCTATCATTCACTTCTTTTTTTTAATCCCAAAAGACAGGACTAAACTGCATTTGAATACAAAGTAGTGTAGGGAAGTGCAGGAAATGGAACTTATGAGAATCTATTAGGTATATATAGATAGATGGATGGATGGATAGATGGATGAATGGGTAGATAGATAATTTGATTGATTATATTATACACATTATGTTTATGACCATAACATTACTTAAAGGGCTAATAAGATGCTATTATGTGATCTGTTATAATGTTGCTTCCTCATTGAAAACAGACCTGGAGTTGTGTTTTGTTTCATTCACAAATGTTTAACACACAGATCTTGCATATTTATGCTGAGTTCTTCTCTCAAACAGAAATTACTCCATTCCATCTTGTGTTGTCGTGTGATAATGTAGGAACTTTGTTTTTAGATTCCATACACCTGCTGTAGAACCAGCTGGATGATTTTGGACCTAGAAAAAAAGTAAAAGATTGTTGTTAACTTGAAAACTACCGCTTCATTACATCACAAGTTGGACCAGAGCATTTTGAGTTTGGAGATGTAGACAGACTAATAATAAAGGATTAGTCAAACATGTGTGAATGAAACAAAACACAACTACAGGTATGTTTTTGATGCAGCAACAACATTCTAACTTGAGCCAGTTTTGTGTACTGTACTTGTCTTACAGTGCCATTCCTCCAATTCTTTTTACATTTACAGAGGATGGTATTGTCAGGGAAACTTAACCCCACAGCATGCAACTTTCAGACAAAAACAACAAAAATACACCTTTTTTTTTTTTTTTTTGGTTATGTTTATTACACTGAAAAAATATAGAATGAGAATGTTTCAACTAATGGTTTTAACTTTCTATTTCCATGGAATCATGCATTCGACCCAGCCTGATTCATCAGCTGGTTTCACTTCGTGGAAACCATCTGACTTGTCAGCATTAGGATTCGTTCGCTTGATGGTAGACCAGTAATTTTTTTTATTTAACCAATTGCTGCTTTTTAGTGGTGACATATGTAATGTACCAAATCCCATAGGAAGAAGGGCAATAACATCTTTCCTCTTGATAAATTTCACCAAACATTCTCTTTGTTCTGGCTTTGAATCTTCGTAGTCATTGCCAACACAGAATGTCTGGCTTCGTCTTCATCTATCTCGACCGCTTTGTTGTGCTGTACCACAAAAGGGACCCAGACAGGTGCTTGAGTTTGACGTCGTGGCTTCACAGCTCTTCACTGATTGGCCGGTGCACGGTCTGCAACTTCCAGGGTTCTTGCAAACCATCTAGTATAATCCCGTTCCTGACCTAGTCGTTGACATTTGACCTGCCACCTCCAGAAAGTTACATACTGTACCTTTAACTTAGCACTGTATGTTTTTATTGCATATTTTTATGTGGCTTCCCCATTTGAGTAAGCATATATACAGCTATACTGCTGCTTACCTGATTAAAAAAAAAATCTCTCACTCTTTCACAATCTGTTTGCAATCTGCAATCTTTATTTTATTTCTTATATAGTAGTATAATTGTATAAAAACCTTATAGTAAAAACCCTGTACTTCACTATTCATTAACATTACTGCATTACTGTGTCTCTGTGATAGCCTGCCATTAATTCTAGCTGTTATCTGTGAATGTGAGACAGTAGTGGCGGTAGGTACCAGCAGGACAGCCGTTGCACCTGCCTCCGCTATGGGGGTTACTGGGGGTGACTATTTGCTCTGGTATTAGTCCCGAGACAATGGGAAATCTCATTGTTAGCGTGACAGTAGCCTGACCTTTGCGACCTCTCAAGGGGGATCAGTAAAGCCCGCTGCCCTTTAGCTTAAACCCCCTGCTATTAACTTTACTATACCCCCCTATATACCTCTTACCCCTTCCCCCTCCCCCCAGGCTGGACCTAGTTAAGTCTATACACTAGTGGTGGTACATGTTTGACTCCTCCCACTTTTCAGCCCCAAAAGAAACACAAAAAAGCATCTTATTAACAGGCCCCATAGGATAAGCTCTGCACCATCCCCTCCTTGTGACCAGCTGTGGAGTAATTGTCAGATAATAGCACCTGCAAAAGCCAAAGTATAATTAACTTTGGCATCTCTGTAAGAAATAAAGCAATTATAGCGCAGTGCTGGGAGCGGGGAGTAGAGCTGAGCTAGATGTCGTTAACACTTTTTAAAAATACATTTTTGTAAAGTGTAAGTGTCAATCTATTATCTTTTCTTACATTTTCTTATGCCTACCTCTGCTTCCCCTCTTATTTCCAGTACGTGTTAAAGGTGCATTGTGTAACTTTTCTGGTGGAGGGTGTGTCAAATGCTTGTCTCCATGGAAAAGTTGTTGCTTTGTCTGAAATGTTTCACAGTATGGTATTAAATCTTTCTATCTTCATGGAGCCCAAACCAGACCAAGTCACAGGTCAGATCTGTGGAGAGGCGACCCCGCTCACAGTCAGACTGATGTTTTTCTAGGTATTTATGAGCAATAAAACCAGCTAATTTAATAAATGTAAGGTAGAGCTTTTTAATGTCATACTGTGGGACATTCAAAAGTATTGATAC